AAGCTACCTTGATATACAACACTCTAGGCTCTCAGGGGCCCAGGCCTACCTCAGTGGCCCCAACCATCCTTACTGTGTTATTTCTTCCTTCCTGCCAGGCTTTGACCAGGAAAGAACCCTGTCTACTAGGAATGAAATTTTCAGAGGAGAAAAATCATTTTTCCCCTCTAATTTATAAAGCTTGTGAATTTTTAAATCAAGTAATGGGTCATTTAAAAAACAATAAAGATATTTTCCCCAAAATAAATAACTTTCAGCTGAAATGTGAATATCCATAAGGGATATAAGGGCTTTGGAATCATGCTCTCCCTCACACAGACACACAGCTATCGAAACTGCATCATCCTTGCTTCATTAGTTATTCCACTAGTTAGCATATTTGTTACAATAATTATAACAACTCATGAGAGCATCCGGGTGAAGGTAGGAGCTATTCTGAAATTTCCAACCATGGCTTTCAGTTACCATCAGCCATGTCTTAGTGTCAGCAAGTCTCGTCAGCAAGTCTTGGTGACAGGACCAGGAATTTTAGGATGATTCTGAAATGGATTCTTTCAGAAGGATATTTACAGGTTCAGTCTTTAAATATCCAAGAACTTTACAATACTGAGATCTGGAAATATTTTCATGACATGGTAAAGTTAGAAAAATTTCTTGATTAAGTTGAGTTTGAAGCAGCCCACATTTCCTAATTAGCGAAGCATATATTTTTTATTTGAAATCTGGAACTGAACAATATGAAGGCTCTAGTTCATTCATCTGTTTCTAGTGTACATATAGTTTGTGCGTGCGTGCGTGTGTGTGTGAAAGAGGTATTTGTGTGGTATATGTAAGAGTATGTGTCTGAGCATGTGTGCAAAGAAGCCAGAAGACACTGAGTGTCCTCCTCTATCACTTTCTGCTTTATCCCTTTAAAGCATGGTCTCCCTGCATCTGGAGCCTGTGTGTTTCATGGAGACTGGCATTTAGCAAGCCCCAGTGGTCCACTTGTTTCCATAATCCCCAAAACACCAGCATTCCAGGCACCTGTGAAACCACATCTGACATGTTACACGGGTATTAGGACCCAAACTCAGATCCTTTGCTGCAAAGACTGTTAACCTCCATGCCATCCCTACAAGCCCTGGTTTGCTTGTTGAACACCTAATTGCAACATCATTGGAGGAATGATGTAACCTACTTTGAACGTGTAAGTAGCCATTGGTGTTTTATGAAAGGGATCTGAAAAATATAAGCAGAAGCAAAACAGATTACAGGCTATTGTATGCTTAATTATATGCAAAGGCTGTTAAATTAGAACATGATGCAATTACTGTGCTTTGTGGGAGGACAGATTTAAGCAATTCAGAATAACAGACATTGATTTGTTTGTGCTGTGATCTAACAATAATTAAAACTTTAAAACTGCAAATAATACTGAGTTGCATCTTGAGTTCAGCATGATAATTTCATAATAGCAGGCTCACATGCAAACTGCCTACAGTTGAAGTATCTTATAAACACACACACACACACTCAGAGGTGGCTAGCCCTCTAATCTTAGATTGATTCAGCTCATGTGTTATGAGTGTTTTTTCCCTGCATGTATATGTGCCTGGTGCCATTGGAAGTAATATGCAGGCATAGGATTCTCTGGAATTGGAGGTTACAAATACTTGGGAGCTGCTATGTGAGTACCCAGAAGCCGAACCTAGGTCCTCTGCAAGAGCAACAAGTGCTCTTAACCACTGAGCCAGCTCTTGAAGTCTGTAACCCAGCTTCTCAGAGAGAGGAGGACGGAATATGGGTGTGCTTTCTCTTTTATCTCCAGGTTATAGGAGGTGTTTGCCGTTTGCTTGGATAAGAAAACACATCTCAAGTCACTTTTTAAGCAGTAGTGAACGCGGACCTGCAAAATTCTGTGCTAGAACATGATTGACCCCTAGTGGTCACAAACAGGACTAGTCCTGCTCATCACCAAATGAGAGAGAAAAGAACAATCTTAACTGCCATATCATTTCTACTTCACTCAATATCTGAATACCTGCTTCACTGAATTCTTCACCCAATACCTGCTTTTGTGATTTCTAATTCTTAGGATCACATGAACTCAGCTAATGTAACCAATACACAGCTCATCTCAATGTGGTTCATCTTTAATATATTAGAGAGACCAAAAACGAAAAAGAAAAAAAGAAAAGAAAAAGCATGGTGTTCAAATGCTTTTTTTTTCTTCTTTTACTTGCATTGAATTTAATTGGGTTTATGCTAGGAATAAATAATACTTTTAAAAATACAGCTTGCTTTTGTATTCATGAAACATCAATTTCCTCCTTCCCAGGGTATCTACCTAGGAAGTATATATAAACAACTTACTTAGGACTACATCTTCTAGAATTGTGCAAGGAAAAATAAGGATAGATGCTTTTTAAAAACAACCCCTCATCTGGGGGAGGGGAAGACATGGGGGAGGGGAGGAAGAGGAGGTTGCCATCAGGATATACTGTATGAGAGAAGAATAAATAAAATATATAAGAAAAATAGAATGTGGTAAGTGTACACATTACAAAATAAAATCTTGTATCTTGAGGGGGTAAAAACGTCTGTGGCTGAAAGCATCCTAATGTATATACTGTGTTTATTTTGCATATTATGCTGAATAGAAAGTAAAATATTGGGGGGCTGGGAAGTAAAACAAACACACCCTCATCAGCCAATTTTGGGGAGAAAGAAAAGACAGAATAGGGAAGGAAAAGATTTGAAATGTTTCCCTCAGCTGTTGATTGGTAAATGACAAAACTAAATGAACCCAAATGGTGCATTACTTCAGATGTCAAAGCGATGACACGTTTTTTCCTGTTAAAAGGTAGCACAGACCTTTTTCTTTTTTGTGAGAGAGAGCAAGTTTGTTGGTTGTGTCTATGCATTTGTATTCCTATCTCTGTTTCAAGAATTCTTTTGATTTCATAAAGAGTTCCCAGCATGGATAAATCTACTTATCACAAAGCCTTCTTGGGTCAGCATCGCTACAGCAGCAACTGTTACCATAGCAACCGGGAATGGGTTTAGCTAGGAGAGAACAGGGCCCCATGCATGGATAAGAGAATGATGAGAGTGAGATTTGAAAAACAGGCCCCCAGAATCACAGAGTTGATAAAGAGATCCCTATGTGCTCTATATCGTGGATTCCACATTGAAGTCAAACTCCCCTAACTAAAAATAAATAAATCAGCTAAACAAAGTCAACAGAGGTAACTTGTAAGCAGTGGCTTATTCAATCATTACTCTAAAGAATAGACACCAGTGTCTGTGTTAGCTTAGTGGTTGAGAGAAGGGAAGAAATAAATCACTTTGTACAAAAAGATTTGCTACAGATGTTCTTAGGGAGATAACATGCAATTTGGACAACATGAGGAGTCAATTTTTTATATATCTTTTCACCCATAAAAGTTCCCTAAACAAAGCAGGGAAAGTAGAGGCAAAAAACAAAACACAAAAAACAAAACAAAACAAAACAAAAAAACGGAACAACAAAAAGATACAAAAACAAGACAAAGAAATGCCACCTACCTGTAGTCCTTTCTCTGGCTACCCAAAATGTACTTAAAAAAAAAAAGGTGGTCTGAATAAGAAAACAAAAGTCACATGAGCATGTTAAAACAAACATCTGGCTGTATGTTGATACATTTAATGTATCTCCTCTGAGTGGGGAATGCCCAGGAGCCAGCACTATTGAGAATTTCCCTCAGATCCAGAAAACATGAAGAACCTTGAATCTCCTTAAATGCCAATGTTTGACCATCTGGAGAGTATAACTATAACAGCTGTGTCCCGGAGCCAGCTCCAACTGGTTCTCCTTGCTATAATCTACTCCTGGGGTACATCTGGTGACATTCTTCTTGGGTAGCTGTCCTGACAAAGTCAGGCGTAACTACTGGCCATAAACAGACAGGTCACAGCTGTGCACATTGTTCTTCTGTCTATTTGTTAAAAGCAGATACTATCTCAGAGCACAGGCATACCTGCAGGCAAAACATTCACGCACATAAGATTAAAAATAAATAAACCTTGAGAATAGGACCCTACACTGTTTCTGCGTTTCATAGGAAGCAAGCGTTAGGGAAAACACTGCAAAGTTGCAAACAATGGGTAAATGAAGGAATTGGCTTCCATTTTAGATTATCAAAAAAGCATGAGGTAAAAACAGCTAGAATTTCTTTTCCCTTCCAGAAAGACTTTCAGTTTAATGGGAGAATCTTAATGAAGAACTCTGGAAGTCCTTAAAGATTCAAGGGCTAACTTTTTCAATGCTGAATGAATTCAGTCATGTCTAGAGTGTTCATCAGAAGAGTTACCTCCTGACTTCCCCATCACTGCCCCTGCTCTGAGAGAAAATGCAAGTTGCTAGAAGGCTCGGGCAGCCTGGCTTTAGAGAAATTAATTATCCAATATTTTCAGCCAACATTTTAGTGTTAATTATCTAATGATAATGTTTTCATTAATGGTTGTGAAAGTTTGTGTTTCTCATGTCTCAGTAACTAAAGAAAAATTCTAAGCAAGTTTCTATAATTACTATCTGTATTACTTTTATTTTTAATATAATAAAAATAATATAAAATAATATAAATATAAAAATAATATAAATATAAAAATAATTTTTAGTATAATTACTATCTGTATTACTTTTATTTTTAGAGGTATAAATTAGTGATATGGCTCTCATTCCCACTAAACTCAACAACTACATTAATTTTTTATGCATAAATAAAGAAAGAAAAGTATTTTTTAAAATGCCATAAAAGACAAAAGTCAAGCCTGGAAATCAAATCAGGGTTCTGCGCTCAAGGACTGAATCCACATGACTCTGAAGTCACCCAATCTATGTCTGAGTTTTCATATATTCATGGGATTAAAAAAAATCTTTACATGTATTCTTACAGGCTGTCATTGACATTAAAAAGTAATCAAATGATTTTAGCTACTCTATTTTTAGTTCTTTATGTTTAGTCTTTAAGCATATATATGTCTCAGAGTGCACACAGGATTTATTAACTCTATGACAGCATTTTGACTGGAAAATGCGGCACATGGATATACAGCACCAAGGCAAAGTAGCTTTCCACAGTGTGCATACTTCATCATGGAAGACCGATGGAAAAGTACCGCCATTTATGCACACGTCCTGCTGCAAAGATATCAGTCCTTGTGATTGTCAAGCTTTTGTTTCACAATGGAAAAGACCAAAGTGACATCAAGCCACTTACTAGCTGATTATTTTTGCATATAGAGAAAGAATATATAGGGAAGAGAAGAAAGAGAAGGAGTAAAGGAGAAAGTGGGGTAGAAAAACCTTCAAATAGTCTTTGTTTAAAAGAAATGTCTACCCAGGGCCTACTTAAAACTAGGCAGGGTCAATTCCACAGTGAAGACTTGGAAGATTTATCAAACTTCTTTTTCATATTATAAGTAAAAAGGGGGGGGGTCTATGAGTATAAGATTGCCTATAAATATCTATTTGTCTGGAAGGAAACTTCTGTCAGTTTCAATGATCGTATATGCAGCTGTAAATATAAAGAAATCAAGACCAAAATACAAAATCCATTTACTTTTACTATATGTGACTCTGTGACTACATCCCCGAATGTATGTAAATTCCATGAGAGTTCATGAGAAGATTTCTTCTATAACCCCAGTAAGTACCGAATGGAAAATCCCAGTGCACGGAGTGGCTTCAAATACTTGTTAATGAGTGTGATTAGGAGTATTTAGTAGTTACATTTGTTGAAGACAGGTGTATACAGATGAGAAAACTGGCACAGACAGACTGAAAATCCGAAGACAGAGCAACAACAAAAAATCATAATCATCAGATAGAATGGCCACTGATTTAAAGACCAACAGTCCTACACGACTCTTAGGGGTTATAGCACAGAGAATTGGTACTGAATCAATGATGCCTAGTCGTTAGAATACATACAAGATAATACATTGCCATACCTTACTTAATAAAGTCAACATAGGAGTCGTACAATGTACCTTAAAAATATTTCTACTGGGGTAGACTAAAGTATTTGCACTTGGTTCTCCTATGTCAGGTTTCTTTTCCAAAATATAATTTCCATTATGCAATACCATGTAAATGGCCTCCACCTTTCATTCCATAATCTCTAATTCTACCATATCTCTTGAGGACACAGAAAATATGTCCCTTTTTTGTCCTTGGTATCTATTGTGTTTCCTAGTACACGATTTCAACATGTTCCACATATCAGCTCTCCCTGTCTCAGTCACAAAACAGTACAGAATTGGATCGGCGACGCAGTTTAGACTCGTCAGTGCCACGGTGATTCTGTACACCGTGAATGTCTGCTTTCCAGACTCGTCGCTGAAGTTCATGTTGCCCTCTAAAATGCAGCGGATGAGCACCATCACGTGGAAGGGGGTAAAGCATAGGACGAAAGTCAGCGTAATGCTAGCAAGCAACTTTATGATCCTTCTCTTTTCGCTGTTTTCCGTGGCTTGGTTGTGCTGCACAGCTTGGTAGACTTTATGGTTGCAGATCATGATGGTGATCAAGGGTATTGCGTAGCCCATGCACGTCCTGAACAGGTTGAGGTTTATCTGCCATTTCTCCAGAGGGTATTTGTCATAGCAGAGAGTGAAATTAGATTTGTTCGCGTCACAATACTCAACACTCATTTCATCTTTCCACAGAAGGATAGAGTTAAAGATGGATTCCAATATCCAGATAGACAAGCTGGTAATAAACGCAAATCTTCTTGTTCTTAGAAAGGAAAACCTCAGAGGGTAGACGACTGCTAAATAGCGGTCCAAGGCAATGCAAGTGAGGAACGCTGTGCTGCTGTAAAAGTTCATGTAGGTGAAGAAAACACTTCCTTTGCACAAGGCGGGAGAGAAGGTCCAGTTGTCTTTATTCCAAGTGTAATTTATCCAGAGAGGCAGCGTCAGGGCATACAGCAGGTCTGACAGTGACAGACTGAAGAGGTAAATTCCTAGTTCATTTTCCTTCTTTGCTTGCAGAAAGGATACACATAAAGATCCGATGTTGGCTGGAACGCTGACTATAAACACAAATATGTAGACCACTGGGAACAAATAGTGGTCCAGGTCATGCTGTTCTTCAACACAGGTGCTGTTCATCGTCATTTTGTGTTTTTGTTTTTTTTTTACAGTGGCAATTACATTACTTCTTAGGCTGTAAACAGGAAAAGGAACCTTGCCTTGTATGTTTTCAATGTTATGTTCTCTTTATTAAGGTTCGTTTCTCTCAAGGCTTCCTTGTCTTTTGACGTTCTGATCAAATCATCCACACATTTAGAGAGTGGTTATAGATCAAATTTTTACACAGATTATTACTGCTAGACATTGGGATCCAAGCTCTGGGGGGTGACTTAAAGAACTTAATGGGATTTAGCCATCAGAAGTCTTCATGTTCAGTAGCATGGGATTTTAGCTATCGCAAAAGGTCACCGCCTCTCATTTGTCCTTTTGAATCTTACAGGAGATTGGAGATTGGTGCAAATGTGAATATTCTGGTTTTATTTTCATACCATTTGGCATTCTTTTAAAAGTGTCCTGTTCCTGTAACAAAAGATGAACTAGAATAGGTTAGATATGTGTAAGGTCTATAACCTTATTCTAATCATGACTTTAAAGCTGTTTTCTCTAATTTATTGAAAATAAGAAATATTTTAAATTACAAAATACTATTTAACTAAACCAATGAACTTTAGCAAATAAAATCAGAGATTTTTTTTGTCTATTTCAAATAAGAATTGCTCAAAGGATGAGAGCTTATAAAGGATGATATTTGCCACCAGACAATGCCCAATAACCATAACCAAAGCGTCTTAAACCATTAAAGCCATTTTTGGTGGTTAAAGAATAGAAAATTTAATTATTTGGTTGTAATGAGCAACTACTACTTTATTTTGTTGCTTTGGAGTGTGAAGTGCGTGGCTACACAATTTATAAGTTTCAACTTAGTATTCAATATCAGTATATGGCATTTCCAAAGTCACATTAAGAGAATATTTTTATAACATGACTAAGTAGAGTTTGAATATAATTTGTTGAGTGTTCATGCACAGGCAGCCTTCCCTCTTCTGTTTGTCTTTTGTTTCTTATGAAATGTAGCTCACTGTGTCTCACTTATAGATTCCATAAATGGGGAACCAGAACCATCTCTATTCTGGGAAAATGTTGTGATTATCAGCTTCCATCCTTAGAGCTGGTTATCACTGAGGTTCAATCCTTTGTAAAGTGACACTGTCCTAGAGAAGGTCTCCCAATCCTTTGCTGGTAGGACCTCACGCTAGTTTTGATGGCTTACAGGATGGGACCTTTTCAGAAAGCTGCCCATCGGCGGCATCATTCTCTTTCCACGTATACATGAGTTCAGAACACAAAAGGGTTTTTTTTTTTATCACAAGGCATGATTCTGGTACTGGGGGAAAAAGTCACGTGTGGGATGTATGTCACTCTTAAAGAGAAAAAGAAGAACTCCCAAACTGTCTGGTTTTCATCACACTTAAAGATATGAATAAGACAGGCAGAGCAGACTGTTAAAGCAATAGCAAAATATTTGTGATGGAAAACAGACATGAGAGCTGGGGAGAGGGAGGTGAGCAGGAAGCTGTAGGTATACCTGAGCTAGATGTGGGTGGGAGGATGGCCAGGGCTCCTGGATCAGAGACACAAGACACAGAATTCCCACCATGAAGGCCAAAGGCGTTCTTCTACCACCACACACTGGGATCGAGGAGGCTCTCACTTCAGGGAGAGGGCAAATCAGGAAAGAGATTAACAAGTTCCAGAGACACAGACAACAGAGAAAAGCTGGCAAGTTCCTTACTTTGGCCTGGTTTGTACAAGGAGCTAAATTAAAACAAAAAAATATCTCCTGAGTGTTCATAGACTCTAGCAGATGCTCACTTAGAAAGGATCTGAGTCTGAACCATTAGTTTGGTTCGTGTGACCTAGTCACATGGTTCAGTTTCATTAGCCAGCATGGAAGTGTGAATGGAAACCTCAGTGAGACACCACGAACACACTCGCCAGAGTAAACTGCATGGTGGGAAATACCAAGTCTGTGGGTGATGGAGAATGCTCAAACCCATATATACACTAGGCTGGAAAACTTACACCTGTAATACGATTTGGTAATCTTGTTACTAGATGAATACACACATATTTCCTAAGCAGCAGGCACTAAGATCAGAAGGTTTACAATACTACTGTCTGCAATATTCACCAACTAGAATGCCCATTGGCAGTAGAATAGATAGCATACATGGTATATCATCATCATCATCATCATCATCATCATCATCATCTCTATCTCAATGCTTGCATTGATCATGGGGTTCCCAATGGAGAAGTTAGAAGACTGAAGGAACTGAAGGGGATTGCGGACCCATGGGGAGAGAAATAATACCAACCAACCAGGGCTCCCAAGGCCTAAACCACCATCCTGGGAGCACATAGGGAGGGGACCCATGGCTCCAACTGTATATGTAGGGAAGGATGGCATTGTCGGGCATAGGTGGGTGAGGAAGTCCTTGGTCCTGTGAAGGCTGGATGTCCCAGTGTGGGGGAATTCAAGGGTGAGGAGGAGGGAGTGGGTGGGTGGATGGGGGCATATCCTCGTAGAAGCAGGAGGGGGGGATGGGATAGGGGATTTCTGGGGGGGAAGGGGATAACATCTGAAATGTAAATAAAATATCCAATAAGAATATAAATTAGAAAAGGTAAATCATAATGTGTTAAAAATATAATAAAAAAAGAAAGAGCTGAAGATTAATAACACAATGCTGACTGATAAGACAAACACAATAGAGGGCATATTATTGGATAAAAGCCAGCCCAGTTTATACGGAGTCAGGACAGCGAGTACCTCTGACAGGGTCAGGTAACACTGAAGGAAGGTGGGAGGGGGGACTTCAGAGTACTCAACAGTACTCTGTTTCTTAATGTGTGTGCTGGTTTACTGAGCACATGCAGCTTGTAAAATGATCAAGCCGCAGACTTGGTTTGAACAGGCCCAGTTTGTCAAAGCTGATTAGGTTTGTTTAGGATGTTCAATGGTTGACTGAGGCTAGACAGCATCCTGACAACATGTCTGACATGTAAGCCTTGCTAAGAAATACAATGTGCTGCGTTTTTTTCTTACATGAAAATCAATAAAATCAATAAAAAAAATTTAAACAGTCATGGAAAGATTCACAGAAGAAAAGAGTTTGTTAAATGAAAAAAGTACCTTTTAGGCACCTAGAAGAAATGAACATAGAATTTTCTCATAAAGAAAGGCTTCCTCAGGCTGGACTTCAAAGAGCCCTGAGAAATATGATCACATCATGGATTTTGCAGGCAAATGGATGGAACTGGAAAGTATCATCCCGAGTGAGATGCATACCCAGACCCAGAAGCACATGAATGATATGTACTCACTGATAAGTAGATATTAGCCAAAAAGTTCAGAATACCCAGGATACAACTCACAGACTATAGGAAGCTTACCAAGAAAAAAGGCCCATGTGTGGATTCCTGAAACCAATACAGAAAAGTTAGACGAAGGACTAAAGGAGCTGAAGGGGATTACAACTCCATAGGAAGAACAACAGTGTCAACTAACCTGGACCTCTTAGAGCTCCCAGAGGCTAAACTAAAAACCAAGGAGCATATCTGGGCTGGTTCATGGTCCAGGGCACATGTGTAGCAGAGGACTGCCTTGTATGACCTCACTGGAGAGGATGAGGTTAATCCTGTGGAAATTAGAAGCCTAGGAAAGAGGGATGATGGTGGGAGTGAGGTGGGAGTGGATGAGACAGTTGGGGAGCATCATCTCAGAGGTGTGGGGGGTAGAAGGGATGGTGTGAAGAACTCAGCAACTTTTGAAATGTAAATAAAATATAAAGATAAAAAAATACCTGAGAGAGAGGCAGGGGTGGGGGGACTCTAAGAGAACTAGGTGCAGGAAAACTTTAAAGATAAAGGAATACACACGTAACACAAATCATGTGTATTTATTCAGTTTAAAGAAATAAAAAGGTGGGAATCAGAACACAGGATGGATGAAGAGAAAGAAAAAAAAATAGCAACTGTGTGATAGCTCCTTCTTGTAATCCCAGTGTTTGGGACACTGTGGCTTAGGGAATCACCACGAATTTACAAGCAGCCTGGGCTATACAATGAAAGCATGTCTCAGAAGAAGGCGAGGAAGAAGGTGGGGAGAGAGGGGACGTCAAAACCAAATAGCCTTATTTTTCCTCTAAAAATTAGAGTAGACTTTGTTGAATAAAATGTAATAGTAAAAATTCCTCAGGAGAGAACATTAGTACAGGAAACTAAAGAAATCAGAAAAAAAATCAGTGTAAAAGAAAAATGGAAACAGGAAAGATCCATGGAGAGTAAACCAAAAAGGTCAGTACACGTGTAACTGGAACCCCATACGGGAAGAAAGGGAGATCAGTGAAGCACACGTGTAACTAGATTCCCATAAAGGAAGGGGAGGTCCGCGAAAAGCAATGTGCACAAACACAAAGGCTGACTGATTTCTAGAACTTATGAGGGGCATAAAGTCCCCTGAATTATGAAGTCTAGTGCCAGAGGTGACAAAGTGAAACATCTGTACTTAGTGATCAAACTGCAGAGACCAAAAACTAAGAGGGTGGTGGTGGTGGGGAGTGGGGAAGTGCCAGAGAAGAAAGATGGATTATGTACAAAGGAGACATTTCAGACTGACATAGGGCTTATCAACGGTAACCACTGAAACCAGAGGCCAGACTGTTCAGGCTTCTGTATTCCAAGAAGATGGCTGTCATCCTATAATCGTATTTCAAGAAACGAAGCAAAACCTAGCATTTACAGATAACTACCACCAGAAAATTGACTCTTCACTTCTTGAAGAAACCTTTAAAGGTTCTTCGTGAAGATAGAAAATGAAACTCTGAGATCTGAACCGCAAGAAGGGAAGGACCTGCATAAGCTGCTAAGGAGTGGGCTCTGATGAATGTCAGTATCACACACTTGGGTCGGCTTATGCACCCCTGGGAAAACACCTAAACTATAAAGGTCTCCTCTCTTGAGACAGGACCAAGGACAGATGGGTGGGCAATGGTGTCTTCCTTTTTGTGTTACTAAGTGAGTATATGTTTGTTTCCACAAAAGCAAAGACAGAAAAAATTATTCTAGTGAGTTTTAGAGTTCTCAACAGAATACATTTCTTTAGCTATGAAAGCACTTCCTGCCTTGCTGAGATCAGCCACCAGCCAGGGTGGTTTGATGAAGCAGATAGCATCTTGTCTGTTGAGCAACAGGGGCAGTATGTGCTTGTGGTTGCTTTTGGAAAGGTTTTCAAAGTTCTTGGGGGGGGGGCGGAATCTGTGGTTCTTCTAAGTTTGTTTCCTCTCATGTAAGTTGGTGCTTAGGCCACAGGGTTGCTACGAGAGTTAAATGAGATGCCCTGTGGGGCCAAGAGCTGAGCAAAGGGAAAGACTTCACCGTATGTTAACGTCACCAATGTACTGTTTCCCCTTCTAGTGCCCCACAGATCTCCTAAAAGGAAGTCATCCTTGACTGTTAGGCAAGCCACATCACAGGCTAGCCTAGGGACTTGGTACTTGTGATGCCAAGCCAGCATTGCCGATAGCTCTAGTTAAGTCAATGAAAGTGCATTTAAAACAAGATATACAGAACATATTATTCCTGTATCTTTCCAAATATTATTTAAGACACTTTAGTGAAATTTTGAGAATTTTTGCCACCCTCCCTGAAAATATGAATGATCTAAGTTTAAATCTTATGAAGTGCTAAAAAGACAATCTATAGCATAGCCCTGAAAATAATATAAATAACTGATGACAATAGCTAAAAGGAAATTGCTTGCATACAGCATTACAGAATGCTAATCACCTAAAGCATGCTTGCTGCCTATCAGGTCACCACATGTCTCCGGTACTATGACAGTGATTTATTCACAAATATCTACAACGGATGCTTAATGATGCTGGAAACATAATTTTCTAACCTCATATGATTTCCGGATGAATGTAAAAGCTATTTCTGGACCCCTGTACTGGTGAGGAAATAATAGCAGTTAGCTCTCCTGTCCAGGATGGCAGAGATTCTTCCTAAACCATCAGTTTGTCATTACTGCATCCTGAGGAGAGAGCTGAGCACTCTTTGTTATACCTGTATTGTCACCTCACCAGTTTTAAGTTTGAGTTCTGAGATTCCCGTACCACTACTCGAAGTAGAAGAAACCATGTGTCTTCCTCAGTTGCATCTCTCTCACAAAGCTTGGTCTTGGTACATTCATAAAGCCCAAACTAGATGAAATGTTACAGACACTGTTGATCATTACGCCGAAAGTATACTATCTACTTTGAAATTTTGTTCTAGTTTTTAAATCTCATACTCACCCCTGTTTCTGGTGGGATGCTTCTCTTGACTGAGGAGGCTGGCAAATCTGCTTGTATCAAGAAGAGAAACCAGCAGGGTTGTGGGGACAGGAAATTGCGATCGTATTTTGTCATAAGCCAATGAGGAAGCAGCCTTTTAATGAGAAGGCTTACTTTATCTGAGTTCAAACAAAAGGATCCTTCTGTACTTTAAGTGATGTTTGGGTCATTTATTGTCCTGTGATTTTCATAACCCATTCTCTTTGTATCTTAATTATACATGTATACTTATATGTATGCCTTTTTCATGCATATGTATGTGTCTGATGTGTGCACATGTGTGTGCAGCTGTGTCACCGGTATGCACACTTTTGGAAACCAGGAATGTGTCCTGTTTGCCTTGCTCTGTCCTTATTTCTTTGCGCAGGTTCTCTTACTGGTGCTGGAACTGGACTGGTGGCTAGCAAGCTCCAGTGATCTTCCTGCTTCAGCTTGTCCAGTGTGTTGGGGTTACAAGCTGGCACACAGTTATGCACAGCTTTTTACTTGAGCACCAGAATCCTAGCTCGGGTGCTCATACTGTGCAAGCACTCTTCCCCAGTGATTCGTCTCGATATCCTCTGCTTTTGATGCTTTTCTTAATGGGATACGTTGCAACAATTTAATCCTTTCAGGTCTTCATCCTGTCACTGCATCTGTCATTAGATTGACTGTGCAAACATCTACACAGGCCCTGACTATTCCGTGGAAAGGAGCACACAGCCATGTAAGAGAGGGTCACTCAGTGACACCCTGGATGCCACAGAAGCAGAGGTAAACACTTGTAGCTGCGTATGAATGAAGTGTGATGATTGACCTGGCTGTGAGGATGGAGAGGATACTGTGGACCAGTTTGGGATCAGTTGCTTCATGGAGAATAAGGCAGAAGAGGTAGATTGGGTTTGGTGGTTACTGTGGTTTAACAGCAAAAATAAGCCAGCCAGGATATGAGTAGGTCAAGTGGGCCACCTTTGGGAGAACTTTTCTTCTGGGGACTAATAGCATTTGATGTATAGTATTTGATTATACAATCATTGTCTCTTCCAGCAATCCTCTGGGAATAGAAAACAGTGATTCCTAAAAGCAGCTGATGGGACTGGATCATGAAATTTGAAAATGTGTTTGTGAGTGCTGTAGATTATTATTTTAAAACGCTAATGCAGTACTTTAACAAGGTAAAACTATAAGTAGTTTAATGCAAAGTAAAATTAGTTTCTAGGACATCCTACTTTTGAGAAAAGTTAGACATCATTTTTAAACAGCATCCTAATAAACTTTGATTAGAAATTAAGGCAAGGATATTATTTTGTAAGTATGAAATCAATTGAGAGTGGAAAATTCTAACTTAATTTTAGGCTCTACTCAGGATATGCCAAGTCTGTGTTTGTAGATGAAAAAAAATGTGTTCTTATGATATAGCTGAGACATTTCTTCCTGAAGTTAACTAAGGATTATGAGGGAAATGTAAAGGCTTTTAAAATTTTCTTAATATATCTTTATGAATCATAAAAATATGCCCGACTGTGGTGGCACACACCTTTAATCCCTGAATCTGGGAGGCAGGGGCAGTTGGATCTCTGAGTTCAAAGTCAGCCTGGTCTCCTCAATGAGTTCCAGGATAGTCAGGGTACACTCTGTTTCAAAACCAATCAACCAACCAAACAACAATAACAAAAAAGAATTATAAAAATAATGAATTTGTGAAGTATTCAAGAATTTGTAAATAACATGTAGTAACTGAAAAAACCTCAGGATATATTGTCATTGAGATGATGGAAAATTAAGGTAAAATGTAAAAACAATCATGACCTGAGGCTTCAGGGCTGGGGGTTGGGGGTTCACTTAATGCACTGTTTCCCTGGCAACCATGGAGATCTGCGTCTGAGACTGAGGAGCAATGTCAAAAAGCCAGGGATGGTGGCATGTACTGGGAAGTACTGGGAAGGGAGAGGCAGGCAAACTCTAGGTTAGAGAAAGACTTGTCTTTAATTTTAAAGAAAAAAAGAAGAGAATGATGAAGCCTGAGGAACAAGTCCCAAGGTGTCCCTCAGGTTGACACACACATCTGCACACATATGAATCTGCACACATAATACACACACACACACACACACACACACACACACAGAAACAAGGGGATTAAAAGTGTGCCAGAATGAAAACAATAATGTGTCTACTCATGACTATAACCCCCATGTCTGTCTGTCTGTCTGTCTGTCTGTCTGTCTGTCTGTCTCTCTTTCTCTCCCCCTCCCCCCTCTCTCTTTTGCTTGGTTTTGCACATTTTTCTAACTATTGTTTCTATTTCATGGGCACTTCACGTTTTGCACAATATCTAATTTTATCTAGATAGACCATACTTCTGTTTTTTCGAGAAAGAGTATTTTCACATCCATATCAAGTATCAATGTACTTTACTCTTCAAACACTGGAAAAAAAGAGGATGTAGTCAGAGAACATGAGAAACACAAACTTTTACTTCTGCTTAAAGAAGAAAAAAAAATGTTAGTGAGCAAAACTTGCTTACTTCACAAAAGGGGACAACAACTTTTATGAATTCTGCATCTTGTTTAGTTAAAAATGCAGTGGTAACATATTTAATCCCAGTGGTATTTAAATGAACAGTTGGGGACATTTCAGAACTAAGAGACATGGAGGCATTTTGACCATATAAAGGCTGAATCAATAAAAAAACTTATTCAGAACATTGGCTTTACGGGGTCAGAATTTTTGGGCAGTTTTCTGATCTTCTGAGACCACAGTGAGCAGTCAACACTGGTCAGAGGCAGCACACTTGGGCTTAAAATGGGAAATGGGGCAAATGAATGTGGACTTTGTGGATTACAGCTTCTCCGTGTTGCAGACAGTGTGGGCAGCTATTCTGCTGATGAAGAACATTCCCCCCTCTTCCTCCTTTTTAAGCTGCATCACTTGTCTGGTGCAATTTCCAAGATTAAAAGTAGCGAGCAAATAGGGCAGGATCAAGTTCTGATGTCCTGTTACGTACTCTCATTTTTATTTCTTTTTATACATTTAATTAGTCATGTTTGTGGCCTAATGAGAAAGGGTTCTTGGCAGAAAGTGATAGTGGAAAAGGCTATGAATTTAGTTTCAAAAGAGATCGAGAGGAATGGAAAGGCTGGGGTTTTGGGCTACTTGCTAGGGGGAATCTTCCTGATATCCAAATTCAGTTGTGAGAAATGCATAAAGTAAGGGCTTTTAGAAAATCAAGTATGAAGAAAATAATATAGCTTTTTATTAATTAAAAATGGTGAGGGAAATATCTGGGGTTAAGTAAAATGGACTATTGAGGATAATGTTCCGTCGTAACATTAGTGCGGCTAATAGAAAGTTTGAACGCTGTCTGCCTTTGGTGTTCTCTGTTGGGCAGCACTGTGCTGGATGTTGAAACCGTCTCTCTGTTGAATGAACTGTGTCGAGGTTTGAACCTGAAATGTTTCGCAGAACCTATGTGTGAACTTGGTCCCCACTGGCGGTGCTGTTTGAGGAAGGTCTTGGAAACCTTAAGGGCCAGTAAAAATGGGTCTTGATTTTGTCACTGTCTGTTTCCTGGTTGTGGACACAAGGTGACCAGGTCCATGACACCTGATGCCCTGTTATCCCTGTTGTGATGAATTATATCCTCTTCAATGCTAAGACAAATAAACCCTTTCTCCCTCAAGTTGCTTCTTGCCAGTTATTTATTTACAGTGAGAGAAAAATACAAAATAATGGTAATCAACATAAACTGTCATTTTCTTCAGCCCTGGGAGCTCAGTAGGACTCTAAAATTCCTCTCTGACAGTTGATATTGACAGTTGAAGAAAGACTAAGCATCCTTCCGCTGCAGCACGGGACTGAAATCTCCTGGCTTTCTAGTACTTGAACAAATCTTTGCAGTAGACATTGCTGACAAGCTACAGGTCGAGGGGGCAATTTTCACGGTGGGAGAATTCGCTGTCATGATCACATTCTCCAAGGATTATGTTCAGCCGGCATTCTTTGATGCAAACAACTGAAGCTGTGGCCACCTGGCACAAAAAGTAAAGTGGTCAGGATCTGGTCCATGATCTACGCAGAGACCTGAGGACGAGGCTTATAGAAATGGTTAGAGATAAAGAACAGAAAGCCAGGTCACCCCACCTGGACATTCAGGTTAGGGTGGCACTGCTGACCCCACTGTGCTGGGCCCTTTAGGACACTTTAGCTGGAGTCTCTGTGGTACTCCTAGGTTCCAGGGCAATAGATCCACCCTCAAACTTCTGGTTACCCTTCCAAGGTCAAAGTGCAGCTTCAAGGAACCGACTGAAGGGTCTGATTACTGTCAGAGCCTTCACTGAAAGCAGGATGAGGGAGGATTTGCTTTCTTCATTCTAGAAGGCAAACTAATTCTGCCTCCCAAGACGCTTAGCACTGGGAAGCAGTGATAGGCCTGGATTATTATAGAACCAAAACTCAGAGCAAAACAAGGGCTGGAGAAATGCCTCAGTGGATAAAGGTGTCGTCATCAAGCCTGCCGACCAAAGTTTAATCCCTAGGAGCCATGTAGTGGGAGAGAACCTCTGACCTCCATGTGTGTACAGCGTCCTGAGTGTGTAACCCCCTAAACAAACCAAGATCTCATAAAAGGAGAAGAGAGATAAAAAGCCTTAAAACAAGAACACACACACACACACACAAACCCAAAAGTGCACTCAGTCCGCACTCTATAATAAATCTAAACCAATATAAAAATAGAAATCTATTTTCCCTGGATTTGCTGAGATGTGGGGAAAAAGGTACACTCAAAATACACTGCTGATAAACTTGTAAATCATTTATGTCGCATGTTGTATTGTCATGTGCTGATTTTTGAGTGCTGTGTGAATATTAAATTGACTGAATCTCCTATTGGTGCATTGCCGGCAACAGTTTGTAGAGTGGGAAACTCAAGTCCAAAGGGGCTAAGTACCTTATCCATAATCTCTGCCTATTAGGTTGGAGGAGAGAGATTTGAGGCCAAGCTATCTGGAGATTAAGAGCCAAATATTGTTACCACGGTTAGTTATGGTTTTATATGCAAGTACTCTTAAGGAAAGCCCAGTAAACAATGTACAATTTACTTCACATGGATTCTTTTCTATGAACAATTTTCATTGCTGTCTAAGGCTATGAGTTAACAGAACTCCATCATGCATTTTAAAACTTTATGTATATGGGTGCATGTATGTACCAGTTTGCACGTCCAGTGTCCATAGAGGCCAGAAATGGGTGTCAAATCCCTTAACACTGGGGTTACAGATGGTTATGCTCCACCACATGGGTACTGGGAATCGAACCTGGGTCATCTGGAAGAGTGGTCATTGCTTTTAATCCTTAGCTGTCCTCTGATTCTCATTATGTGTGTCATACATGCATACTACATGTGTGTGTATAATTTTAATATATATTAACATAATATCTATAATTTGTATGAGTGTGTCTGTGAGTGTATCCATACATGTAAATCTTATATGTGTAATATATGTAATACATGTCTTACATTACATGTTTATGTAATGTGCATGAATGTGTCTGCATGAGCTTGTGCACACACATATATGAGTCTGCATGTTTGTAGATAGAGGTGGGGCAGCCAGACTAGGGTGTTGGCTGACTAGGCATAGCAGTTAAAGGTGTTTGCTGATGCCAGACTTGGAAGGTACTAGGATCCAAACTTTAGTGCTCCCGCCTCTGTATGTAGTGCTCTCAACCCTGAGCCATATCACCAGCCCCATAATCACATATTCTTCTGATGGAAGTTCATTTATAAGTCTGTCAGAAACAACTGCTATCAACAATTCACTCCAGAGTTGAAAGCTCGGACCTACAAGCAGCTATTACAGGATGTCTGTAAAGAGACAAGCCATCATATCCTTTCAGACTCTGGGGACACCTCAAAGGAATGCTTCCAACTCTTTTAGTGAGTCATTGTTTCATCTCATATCCTCATGTGACCAGTGACTTGTTTTTAAGTTCAAGACGTACACACTGAATATGTGTACGAGTTGGACACTGCTTAGAAAATGTGTGTACATACACATCGTGATAGAACGGGCTGTTAGGAATCTTAACCAGCACTTTTGCTTAAAAGGCGAGATTGCTCATCTTTCTCAAAAGATTATAAGTTTTCTCTTACTTTAACTTACAAAAAGGAGAAGTGTAGAGGAACATAAATAGGTTACTCAGAAACACTTCTATTTAAAACCATTTAAAAGAACACATTTGAAATGTGAGACCTGGGACCTTCCTCTTCTAGTCTGATGTCATTCATCCTGAATCCATACATTTAAGAGAAACTAAGAACATGATTGCTTCTCTGATAACTGTGATTTCTCTTTATCTCACATACTGGTGAACTTTCTTTTCCAGTCTGCATACATGACTTTGTTTAAACGGAGATATTTTTTGTTTCCCGAGTACAGATTAGAAATTGTAAACAACAGCTGTATGCTTTGATATATGAACTGTGGTGCTTCCAGGGTGGGTACCATTTTTGTTAATGGTTTGTTTCCTATTCTGCATCGTTCACACATTGCACAAAATCTGTAACCTGTCTGCCAATAGAAAGTTGGAATGGCATCCTACAGGATGGCATATGCTGTATGTTGGCTTCAACGTGCTGTTTTCAGAAGTGTGGTATTTGTTCCAGGTTTGGTGAGAGACCCTGCCTCAAAAATTAAGGTGGGAGAGTTGGGGAAATGACTCAGTAGGTAAGAACACACTGCACAGCATGGGAGACCTGAATCCATACCTTAAGCCCCCACATAGTATACACACACACACACACACACACACACACCTAAAGAAGAATAATGAACAAAGATACTGTATTGTCCAGAAAGACCGTAGAGATATCACAGGCTGATTACGGGCTTTCCAAGTGATTTGATTTTATCCCTTCATATAATTTCCCATAATTGTGTTTGTGGTGGTTAATCTTCATTATCAACTTGACTGAATTTCGAATCACCACAGAACACACCCCTGGGTGTGTCTACGAAGGGTCTTCCCTGAATGGAACAAAAAGAAGGAAGTAAGCTGAGTGCCAGCTTTCACCTCTTGGCTTTCCTGACTGAAGATGAAACACACTCAGGCGCCTCAGTATGCTGCTGGGGAGACTCAGCTGCCAAGGAGATAAGCCAAGAGAAACCTTTCTGTCTTTTATTCTGTTACAGCAACTAGAAAGTACTGAAGACAGCAGTCGTCAAACACAGTCTCAGGTTTGTTTTTAAGGGATAACACAACTTACTCCATAGATAATTATGCAAAGACCTACGCTCCCTTAAGCCCGGCGCATTTGTCTTCTCCTTGCCACGCTGCTGTCTCAGGGGCTTGGGTGGGAACTCACTGGTTCTATGCTTTCCACTAAAGGAATGTTTTTTTTTTTTTTGGTGGGCGGGGGAGTAGCTTTCTACAATATTAGGGGAATTCCCAGGACAGTTCACTTTCCTAGCACATCAGTTTACTGACAGTGGAAGTTAGCTTATTGTAGTTTCAAAGCAGCATAATATTACCTTTGCCATTTTGGGGTCCTAAGAGTTAAACTTCTGTGACAAACTAGATGGACAAAGCATACAAATTTAAGTTCCAGGGCACAGGGCACACTCTAAGAAAATTAAGATTCCCCCACACACACCCACCCATCCAATAAAAACAGGTTAGTGACATACGTGCTGAAACTGATTAGGAGCAGTTTAAGTTGCAAAACGTTCGAGCAGGCATGTCCAACCTTTTCTTATCGTGACACTGTCAACTGTAGACTTCACGCTTGAGGTCTGCACAATCGAGGTTTGTTTCTTTTTTATCATAAAAAGTCTTTTGACAATGTTTTGAATTAAGTTTATGTATAACTTTAGGGTGGGCTGCTTTCGTAGCTATTATCTTGTCTGCAGTCACAGGCTGGATGTACCTGCTAGGGTATTTAACTGGATAGAAAAGTGAGTAGGAAGGTAAGGGTTACTGTAACGAGGGTTGGCAAACATTACCACTTCCTATATTTTAGTCATGGCATCTTTCATAAGTGAATTTCATAGTCACTTACGAAACAGAATAAAGGTCAGAGTATCCTAGATCTTTTTTTTTTTTTAGGTCTCTTAATGCAAAATAGTCATTACATTATAGCAACATTTTAGAAGACTGATCTCATGTTCTCTTTTAAGTAATAAAAGACCTGGATATAGTAAACTACTCGATCGAACAGAAAACTTTGTCAACTAGCATTTGCTAAGTGTCTAAGTGAATCCAACTAAGATTTCCGGAGTGCCTGTTATCTTACTTTTATTTAATCCTGACTTGCTGTTCTTCTCGGTGGTTTAGAAAAATTCAGGGTCCTCAAGCCAAGCAACCCAACCAAGATGATCGCTTAACTTAGTTAGGGCTTAGTTAGGGGCTTCAAGCCAGGTCCTTATTGCTGTTTCCTACTGAGAATGATCTATTAGGGCAGGACAGCCCTCTTCTTTTGACAGTTGTTGACCATTCACTTCCCAATTCACTAAGATGATCCATCAGGTGAGGTAGGAAGAGTGGTCACTAAGTAATTACACGCAGAGACCGGTCCCGCCTCTTTGACACAGAAGTGACAAGGCAAAGCTCGCTCAACCTCTCCCCGCTCAACACTACAGCGGCTGCGCGGACAGTTCAGCCAGCCCGCAGCCCTCACTTAAGATGGCGAAAGCTTCCTCAGCCGCCCGCTCTTCTTCCTCAGGGAGGCGGTCTGGCCCGCCTCCCCGGGAGCCCCAGTCACGTGACCCGCACAATCGCTAACAGCCAACCTAAGGCTTCCCAGCAACGCCAAGCAAAAGTCATGACCGCCGCCGCGGGCTCGGCGAGCCGTGTCGCGGTGCCCTTGTTGTTGTGCGCGATGCTAGCGCCGAGCGGCGCCTACGTGCTAGACGACTCCGACGGGCTGGGCCGGGAGTTCGATGGCATCGGCGCAGTCAGCGGCGGCGGGGTGAGCGCGGGCTGGCGGGAGGCAGGAATGCGGAGGAGCGCAGGGAATGCCGGGGTTGCCCCCTCCCACAAGCCCCCGCGGCGTTGCCTGGTTAGCGAACGCCGCTACCCGCGCGCCGCTTGGCAATGAACCCAGCCTGGCAGTTAGATTGGAACCGGGAGCCCGAGGTCTCGAGGGAACAGGTGTCTGCTGCAGTCAAGTGGCCAGGGCTCGAGGGAGCCTTCGTTCTGGATCGCCGGCCAGGGCTGTCCTTGCGACGCTGGAAAGGTCGCTTCCAGAAAAGCCAGAGAGGGACCGCGAAGCCTCAGCGGGATGCTTTAGTGGTTCCCTTCCTTCCCAGGGAGTTAGTTGGTGGGGCAGTGAGTCAGAAGATATAGGTAGGGTTTGGGGACTCTTCTTGAGCAGTGAATAGCACCCTCCTCACCCCTCAACCCCGTAAGACCTCTTGACTCTTTAGGGTTGTGTAAAGCCTGAAGCGATCTGGGATATTGTTTTAAAAGAGGGCCACCTTCATCCACTAACAGAAACTGCCAAGTGTGTGTGTATGTGTGTATGTTGGAAGGGGGGATGGATGGTGGTTCTCTAGGGCGCATAAGAATCATTAGGTGTATTGGCTAAAATTTAAGTTCCATTCTGACTTTATAATAAACACCAGTTAATTCTCAAAAGATGAGGTCTTGAGAGAGATTTGTTGATTCAAAGATCTCAGGAGTGGGAAGTGGTTTTCTTTTAAGTTGAAACCTTAAGAGTAATTTTAGATCTACAGAAAGCTATCCTCAGTACTATTTATTTAATAAACAGCCAATAGTTCATATACAGCCTTAACCTCTCCTTTTGATATCTTTGATAGTAAACGAAATGTATCGGCTTTTTAAAAAAAATTGAAATTTCCAGTATCCCAATCAGTATCCCAGATTGCTTCATTTGCTTAATTCACTCAATTTTAAATTATTAAAATAATTTCATAACCTGGTGTGATGGAGTAAACCTTATTGTGTGTGTATGTGGTGGGAATGTTTTGTACATCTGAGTGCAGGTACTTAGAGGCCAGAAGCAGGTCACTGTGAGTTGCTGTCTCTCCAGCCCCCGAACAGATAAATCTATAAAATAGTCAATTAGTAATGTCTCTGTACTGTGTTATGTGTTAGACAGTTTAGGAGAACAATAATGAATGAAGATGGATGAACATTTTATTTACACACCAGTGTGTGCGTAAAACATGTTACCTAACACACTTGTAGCAGTACTTAGATTGCTCTCTCTTGACTTTCACATATTTAGGGAAAGCATTTTGCTTTGGCGGTTGACATGTGGACTTCAGAGGTGGCTGGAGTCATTCTGGTCCAGGACACTCCCCTCCTGGTTTTGACAGATTATTTCATGTCCCTTTGCTTAAGTTTCTCTTCTGAGGGAACAAAGTGACAGGGGGCAGCATTATGAGGACAGGCGTGATTATCCAATTGTGATTCTTGTTATGTCTTAAGGATTATGGAAGAGGAAGTTGTTTTAAGATTTTGTGGCAGGATGCTGGGAAAGTGTCCTGGTACCCTAGTTTCTAATACTACAACTTCAGCTTCAACAGTGCTTGTAACCACAAAAGGGGTAGTTTGACCATCAAGAGACACAGTTACCAAGACGCAAGCTGTTTATGGGTCCTTGTCCTATCATGTCTTTACTGCTGCCTAACTAGAGACACAGCCCTGAAGACACAGCTGTGATTTTCCCTGGTTGCCTTGTATCTAATACCTTGTCTATTCATTGATAATGGCCTCCCAATGTACAAGTCTTTGATTCACTATTGGTTTTATAATTTCTTTTTTTTTCATGCTGTCTTCTGGGTCTAGGTGTGGCTAAATCTTGTTAGTGTGTGTACTATCTTTTTTCTTTTAAGATAACACAAGTTTATTTATGGGCCAGAAGTCTAGGTCAGAGTGTTGGTAAGGATATACTCGTTGCAGAGGTTCATGGGAGAATCTGTTCCTTGCCGCAATTCCAGACTTTGGTTGCTTCTCATGCTCATTGAGTGCCTGTACTTAATAATGCAAATGTTTTTCTGTTTGTTCTGTTACCAGTCTTATGTGAGGTTTTGTTCATACAGTCTTGCCTTGGGGATCATTGGGAGGTCAATCTTAGCAATAGCAGATCGAATTTATAAAGTTGAGGGAGGTATTGTCTCCTCTCAACATAGCTCTCACATAGCTGTAAGATATTGATAGGTAAGACTGTCTGAGATTCATCTTATTTATCCTAGCCCCCAGGTATTGATGAGTGCTCTTAGGATAGAATATTTCAGTTTCAAGATAAATTTAGAATCATGCTTGTATTAGCTATTTGTTGATATGACAAAATACCCGAAAACAACTTAAAGGAGACAGGATTTATTTTGGCTCTCAGTTTGAGGGTTTGGTCTGTCGTGGTAGGGAAGGAGGATGTCACATCCTATCTGCAGTTAGACAGCACACAGATGACTGCCAGAGCTCAGGTAGCCTTCTTGATTTCATACAGCTTGAGGTGTCAGCCCATGACATGTTTCTACTCACACTCAGGGTAGGCCTTCCTACTCCAGTTAACTCTAGAAGCTCCCTCACAGATACACCCCGGAAGATTGTCTCCCCAGTGATACTCCACCCTGTCAAGTTGACAGCGCTAACCATCACAGTGTAGTAGCCTTTATTGGCTTATCTCTCAACCAACTCTTACACCATCATAAGAAAACCTCTTAGCTCTCAGAAAAACAATAGGCATCTACACCCAGTGATTGAGTGCAGACCAAATAACATAGCAAATGACTCAATAGCTCCATTTGCTCATTGCTGGGTCATGCATTTTGTGTGTGTGTGTGTGTGTGTGTGTGTGTGTGTGTGTGTGTACACTATAGACAAATACAGATGATAATATTTTTTTCATATTTTTGAAAAATGTTTTTCCCCAGGCAACCTCCCGGCTTCTAGTAAATTACCCAGAGCCCTATCGTTCTGAAATACTGGATTATCTATTTAAGGTAAGGAAGAATAATCACCTCATGGGCCTGTGGTGTTTTGAAAGTATAAGTTCAGCCTTAGAATTTCTCAGCTTTCCGATAGAAGTTTGTTTTTTTCTCCCTGTTCGACCCAAGGCCTCTCCGAGGTTTTACATGCCAGAGCATATTAATAACACTGTTCTTTTTTCCACAGCCAAACTTTGGTGCCTCTTTGCATATTCTAAAAGTGGAGATAGGTGGCGATGGACAAACAACAGGTAGGAGGATTTGGAGGGATTTCCCTGACAATTTATCTATACTTAAACATATGGGACAGAAGGACGATCACCTCATTTGAGGAGATTGCTCTTCAGCGGATCAGGCTTTACTTTTCTCTTCTCATATTTTCAGGTGCGTGCACATGCGTATGTTGGACTGGGTGACATCACCTTGCTGGTCTGGCTTTTCGTATTTTTTATTTTTAAGAATCATGTTAAACGTAAAATTTCCAAAATAGTATTGAAAGTCTAAATTGCTCATTGAAGTAATCACTAGAGAAACAAATCCAGCTTTCTAAAAATCATGCACATTTGCAATTTTATGGAAAAGTTATAAGAAAAATTTAATTATGTATAGAATATGTAAGATGTTATTAACTTTAAAAAATGTATTGTAAAGTACAACTAATGTATTTTAGAGACACAGATACAGCTTTAAAAAAACAAATATAATTTAAATAAAGATACAACCTTCATAACCAAATTTTAAAGTACTTCTCTCAGTAATTAAATATACTTAATGCTTATAGACCAAGTCCACTAATATTGCTTGAGAGCATTTCTGTGTGTTTGTCTTCCTGCTAGTGATTTCATGGTAATTTTTTAAAAAAACAATTTATGTTATAAATATGAGTGTTTTGTCTGTATGGGTATATGTGTACCATGTGCATACTTTGTGCCTGCAGAGGCCAGAAGACAGTATTAAACTTCCTGAAACTGGTATTTCCCATAGTTGTAAGCCATCGAATGGGTGCTGGGAGCCAAGCCTTTACTGCTGGAAGAACAGCCTTTACTGCTGAGTCTCTCTGAATATGTACTCCTACTGGAGTCTTAGGACAAAAGCCCTGGCTTCCAATGTAATAACCTAGGTTTGGCCACTTATCAGACATGTCAGTAGTGACGACAGGAAGGCCCCCTTATCATCCAAACAACACTGAGTGATTTAAAAAAAAAAAAAAGGTCTAGTGACCTGTGGCTTTTCTTTGAGAGTCCAACAAGGACTTTGAGGCTTTATTGAAAAGGGGAACGAAGATCTGTGGTTTGGTTAGCTAGAGTTATGCATATTTGGCAGAGCAGTAACCTTGGTCAGGCTGTGGTCTGATGGTTCATTCTTGAGGCTGCTACTGTATGACCCTGAGAAGTCTTCTCCTTTGAGAGGGCAGCTTGATTAACTTTCTAACCTACAGGCTTGTGGCTCTTTTGGGGTAGTTTGAACCTGTTGTGATAAAGGTGTTTGTGGATCGGAACTGTTGTTCTTAGAATCCAAGGTAACTGCCGGGCAGCCCAATTTGGAACTCAGAAGGAAAACAGTCAAAGGAGACAAAATAAGTCAGAGAGGGAGAAAATGAGAATGAGGTAGGTCAGTTACTGGGCCCTACTTCAGTATTTGTACTTGATTTATGCTGAAAGAAAAAACAAGTGAAAATCAAAGCTGATGGGAACCCCCGTAACAGAAGCTTTTCTCAAAAAAAAAGAAAAAAAAAGTCTTACGTAAAAACCTTCTACACGGGGAGCTAAGGATGATGCGGTGCATTTGCTGAAGCTAAATTAGAGATAAGGACACATGAGGGACATTCTTAGGAGTTGTCATGCTGACCTTAATTAAGAGATGGGCCAGGATAGTCATCCTCATAGGCCCCACATAGCAAAGACTGCTGTCTGTGAGCCATGCATGAGTGCACATGAGGACGTTGGCCTCAGAGGCCTACCTCTGGCCTTGGTCTTGATGTTTCCTCTGCTGGCCTTGAGTGCTAGCACAGGACTTTGCTATCGTTGTAGTAGGGAACGCATATTCACCTTTTCTTAGAGCTTGCTGTATCATGACTGTGGGGGTTCAGGACTACAGGAGTTCACAGCCAGGGTTGGGAGGGAGACTTGGGATGATGTGGACTTGAGAGCGGAAAACCTCAGAGAGATTGAAAGCTCGGCAGAACTTAGTCCTGGGGTTGTTCAGTAATAAACTGTGATAGCATTTGTCTCTGTACTGCTTTTAAGATAACATTGTGGCTTTTAAGAACCTTACAGTGTTTAATATAATGAAAAATATGAAATAAGATACTTTGCAAAGCCACCTTCTTACATAATTCTCATCTGTACAACTTCTAAACCAGAACTAGAATACAAGAAAAATACTACTTTAAAAAATTGTTTTAGTATGTGTTTGCATACAGGGTGTGTGAGTATGTGTGTGTGTGTGTGTGTGTGTGAATGAGTGTGTGTGAGAGTGTGAGTGTGTGTATGTGTGTGAGAGTGTGTGAGAGAGTGTGTGTGTGAGAGTGTGAGTGTGTGTGCGTGTCTGTGTAAGTGTGGGTGTATGTGTGTATGGGAG